TCAAATTGAGATTTATACATCATCTGAAGGCTTAATAAATATGCTTTCCATTGATGTATGGTTTGTTAGGATAGGACAATATTTGTCTGAGATACAACTATCTGAAAATCTGGAATCTGAGGGTGCAAAAAAATCTAAATATTGAGAAAATCATCTTTAAAGTTGTCCAAATGAAGTTCTTAGCAATGCATATTACTAATCAAAAATTACGTTTTGATATATTTACAGTTATTAATAGCAAAATAAAATTTTTGCTATTACTATTGCTACAAATATACCCCAGCGACTTAAGACTATCTTAAAATGGATTAAAACTAGAATCTAGAATTATTGTTTTATTTAAAAAAAACAAAACACCAATATATGACAAGTGTTAGCAAAAATACATCTTTCATCCATTATATATTCATCCGTGCAGCTTCTGCTCCTGCGAGGCTACGCCTTCAACCACACGGCGGACTTCGAGACGGTGCGGATGATGAAGGAGAATCTGTTTTGTTGGCTACAACATTGAGCAGGAACAGAAACTGGCCAATGAGACCAGCGTCCTGGTGGAGTCCTACACGTTAATACACTTAAAAACACTTAAAAACACACAAAATACTCTTACACTTGATGAAAATGAAGATATTCTAGGAAATGCCCTCGCAAACCATGAACAAAAATAGGCTAAGTTTGATACTATATTGCTTGTCCAAAACTAACTGAGAATTACAGATATAGTGTATATTACTTTAACTTTCCAGTTGAGATTTCCAATTAAACCATCAATTTCTATTAGGGAAAATTATTTTTAACGATAACTTATAAATATTTAAAGACAGACCTGTTGTGAGCTCCATGGTTGTTAATCAATGGTATATGTTTTTGTTCAAACCATCTGTTTGCATCGTTTTAACAGGGATATTTTAAAAAATGAGTTGAAATAGTGGAATTTGTGGTGAAAACTACATTACCCATGATGCTGTGCAAGAATTCCACCAATCAGAGAGTTGCCAAGAGCTCTTTAGCTCCGCCCACTCCCATGATGCACCGGCAATTATGTAATCAAGTTGATCTCTCTACGCTCTCACAATACTTACACAAAAAATATTAGTATATATACTACTGATATTTGGTAATAAATGTAAAATATTGTTTCTATAGTAAAATCAACAACTTTAAAATAATAGTTTTGTATTTCACCATAGTTTTTAAAGCGATTATGTCAGTTATAATGCTTCATGGGATTGTAGTTTTCTCCCTCATTAAAGCTGGTCTTGTACCTTTATCTTTTCAAATACTTTTTTGCTTCCAAGCAGTGTTGTGATTCACCCCGTAGCAGGTTGGTTTGGTTCAAGGCTTTTAACTCTTTAATGAAAACTAAAAAAAAAAATCCCTGTAAGAAAAATTAATGGGAAAAAAACCCACTCAAAAAGCACTGATGCACTCTATGTATCTGCAAATAGGGGGCACAAGAGAGCTGCTATAAGTTTCTCATGCATGTATATTTAAACTTGACTGGCCTCTTTACAGAAAATACAAATTTGACTGACCTTTTTTGTGTGCAGTTACCAGACGGGCGGACGATAATGGTCGGAGGCGAGAGGTTTGGCGCGCCAGAGGCTCTTTTCCAGCCTCATCTCATTAACGTGGAGGGTGTTGGTGTGGCCGAACTGCTCTTCAACACCATCCAGGCAGCAGACATTGACATCAGGTCAGAATCCTTCAACAGCATCGTCCTCAATCAGACGCTTAATGCTTGACTCTGTGCAAAAGTTGACTTGACGTATGGTCAGTAATTGGACAGATTTGTCCTGCAAATGTTCTTCTGCTAACAAGTTAGGGGGTATTTTTATCCAAGACCTTCTGGAGAGCCTTTACTAAGCACAGCTAGTTTTTTAAAAGGAATATTTCAGGTTAAACACAACCGAAGCACTTTCTCGGAGGTCATTTTCAGCATGTCACAGTTGTTTCTGATAGAAATTAAATTGATTTCCATCTGGATTTTTCCATCCATCTGAAGGTCGGATTTCTACAAGCACATCATCCTGTCTGGAGGAAGCACCATGTATCCGGGACTTCCTTCCCTTTTGGAGCTTGAGATCAAGCAGCTGTATCTGGAGAGAGTGCTGAAGGGAGACACTGAGAAACTCTCTGTAAGCTGTTATAATGCTAATGTTGCTCATTTATACGCTAGGATTTCTGTATTTTTCTCCCTAGTAGAAACACCCTCAAAACAAGATCAATTTATGTGAGAAGCAAAACAATGTTCAATATTAAGGCTTTGTTTTTAAGCTTATTTGTATTATTTTCCCATTAGAAATATACTCCCCCCCCCCTTATTTTAAGCATAAACCTCAAAATTGCTAGATTTATGCTTAGAATGAGACAAAAACAAATTGCCAGTGGGCTACAGTGTTGATATTGTAAAAAAATTAAATAAAAATTTTTTTTTTTTTAAATGGTAATTGAAATAAAGCTGAAATTAAAAAATATATATAAATATTAGATGAAAAACTATTTAAAAAAGTAAAAAACAAAAACAAAAAAAAAAACTCTCATATCTGGCCCCAATGCCGATATTTACATTTAAAGCCATTATCGGCCCGATTCCGATATCAGTCCGATAATATCGTGCATCTCTAGTTATAATGCTTCATGGGATTGTAGTTTTTTCCCCTCATTAAAGGGGTCATATGAAAAATTCTAAATGTTCTTAAAAAAAAGTAGAAATGTTGACAACTGAAATAAGTTAAAGTACTTAAAATACTAAATGTAAAACTAAAATAAACAAAATAAGTATATACAATTTTTAAAAATACAAATACTAATAAAATCATAAAAGCACAGTAAAATTACTAAAACTTAAACTATAATTAAAATGAAAAACTGTAAATATAAAAAAGCCAATTGAAAGTATTGTAAAACAAAAAAATTAATTGAAGATACATTGTCTCAAAATGTCTTATCTCGTGCAATTTTTCTTTTCAAATTAATTTACCTCATAAAATAATAATGCCATGATATAAAGATTCACCTTATTCAGTTCAATATATAGTTTTTTTTTAAACTTTTGACCGATTAATTGGGAATTAGCTTTTTTCAATGACTGTAATTATCGCACAATCCATGATTGGTTGATCTCTAGTGTATGGACTTTTCAAAAACTCAATTAGTGTGTACAAAACATTCATTACACAAGGCCCCCGGTGAGCAGTTTTACATCACAAAGGCCTTAGAAAAGCAAGAGAGAGAGAGAGCTGCTGCTGACATGTAAATGAAGCTAACAGAGGCACTGCTCCCAATAAACTATTTCAGATTCAGGCTATATGTCAGAAACTGAACACTTGTATTAGTCGTCATTTATTTTGCTCCAATCAAGCTGATTTTGACATTCTCCAGCAACTTTCTCTCCCACAGAAATTTAAGATCCGCATCGAAGACCCTCCGCGGTGCATCTGAGGAGTTTATATAAGGCTTTAATGTATAGCTCAAACACTACCTAGCTAGCAAAATAAATGACCAAAGAAATACTCATCGGGGTTATTATAGTGAACTGAAACTAAAACCACAAAACATTTTTCATTACTTGAATTAAAATAAACTCTACTGGAAATAAAATCAAATATTTTATTTCCATTTAGTTGCTAAGGCAACATTTCTCATTTTCATTTAGTAGATCTTCATGTAGTAAAATAGCTCAAATTAATGGAAATAAATATATTTGAAAAATAATAATATAATATAAAAACTAATTCAAAATATGAATAAAAACTATAATAATATCTCAATAATACTAAAATAACCCTCATACTTTAGACTTCATACCATATTTGATTATTTAAAATAAGACTAAATATTATTACTGCAGTCTTACCAAACTAAAACACCAAACGTTATAATTAAAAAAATAAAAATAAAGCATTTTTACTCTATTTATGAACTGTTTTGCTTCGATTTCGTCAGATTTAACTAACTCGACTTTCGACCGAGCAAATTTGTCCTCAAAGTATAAATGTTACATTTTTGAATGAAGCTGAAATAAAATATAAATATTCGATGAAAAGGTTAAACCTAAAAAAACTTGAATTACATAAATAAAAAATTTAACTAATACTGAAATAAAAATTAAAGCTCTCTCTCTTTCTCTATATATATACATATAAGATGAAAGCACCTAAAATTACTATAAACTAAGCAAAACCAAACTAAGACACGAAATGTTATTTTTTTAGAAATAACAAATAAAATATTTTTCTTTATTTATGAACAGTTTTTAATTTTAAACCAGTTATTGTTTTGTCAGATTTAACTGGAGACTTGAGACTTTAATCCAAGCGAATTCAGACCTCAAAGTATAAAGCTTGAATCACATCATGTACTGTACACAAAAAGAAATGTAATGAAATAAATGACAAATTGAAACTAAAGACATTGAGAGAAAAGTCTGACCTGGCTAAACATTTTTACATATTAAAATAGATCAATAAATGTCATTTGTTGATAACGAATATTTCATATTGTTATTTTTTCCAACCAATCCAACAAATATGATTCAAATCAGAAAAAGAGCGGCAAAACTACATTATACTAAGTTGCTGCTGCCTTCTAGTGGACTACAAAGACTACAAACTTACTAATGCTGAGGTTAATGTGAGCGTGTAATAATCCATAATCACCAACCAGCGGCTCCAGAGAGACAGATGTCAGGCGTTTGCATTCATAATACTGTATGTTTAATACTGCATGTCAGTGAACAAGCGTACAGCACCGTTCCCTAGGCAGTAAACATTCAGAGAAATTAATCTGAGCGTCATGATGCCATATGAAGCATATTGTTCATTCATGCATCACAATGAACCGCATCACAAACGAAGGCATGCATCGGACACGAGTTCAACTGATTCAGCAATAAAAAGCATCAAAGCTGAACTGAAGTCATAACCAGAGCCCCATGAATCATAGAATAAGCATTACATTATAGCTGCACAGTTCACTGTAGAAAGAAAGCATTACAGCGTCACATTCAGAGTCAGAGTGAAACCGGTGAGAGAGCGTTTGATCAAACAGTCGTTTGGCGGGAGATTCGCAGGAAACGCTGCCGTGTGTGTGTCTCTGTGTGTGTGTGTGTGAGAGAGAATGTGTGTG